AACATACAAGCCCAAAGATCAATGAAACAATCATATTATAATTTTTGCAATAAAATAGTTCAAATACCATTGACATATGGAGAAGAAAGATCTAGAAACAAGAGATATCCTAAGAATTATAAGAAAGGAAATGTAAGGACAAAAAGAAGTTATTTTCTTAGAAGATCAGACAATAAAGCTCCATTCCTCTATAAGAGAAATATAAGAAGATATAATCCTAGAAAAAATTATGATAGTACATGTAGATGCTTTATTTGCAACTCGCCAGATCATTTAAGCAAAACATGTCCTAACAAAGACAAGAAAAGGTATTCTAATAAACAAGAAGAACAAGAAAAGGTTCAAATAATAGATAGTGTGAATGAAAATATTTTAGTCTGTGATGATGATATAATGGACGATGAATCAATATACTCAATTATAGAGACAGATGAAATAGAATATGACGAAGAAAAAGAATCAAGTGAAGAAGAGTTAGACTTAATTGATGAGTTAGTAGGAATAAAGATAGAAATGATGGATCAAATAGACCGTGAACACAAGTGGGATCATAAAAGAGTTGATTCTAGTATGAACCTGTGCAGGAGCATGAGCTGATGGACTAGTTGATAGTCAAAATTTTAGAAAAAAATGACCAGATGAAGTCTACAATCATATCATTGTTTTCCGTTTGATGGAAAATATGTGGATGTATATCTACGTTCAAGTGTGCTTCAGATGCTTCTATATATAAAATATTAAGGTAGAATACTTCAACCTTGTTGGTTTTGTTAAATTTTCCAAACTCCGACATTATGCATGGGTGAGGAAATCTTTTAACAACGCGCAATTCATGTGCATGGGTGTGGCCTACGAACGAATTCTAACGGGTTGGTTGGTTTGAGCGACGGTTGTGTGTCAACCACCGAGCAAAAGTTTTAATTAGTCACCGACTCACCGATCGTCCTCTGCGCCGGCGCGTCCCTAGCCGCAGCTGCCAGCAGGAATCCATGACATGGGATCCCAATCTTGCAGTACGTCAGGGCAGGCTCTCTCTGATGGTAGGGTTGGTGTTCTTTGGTGGACGAACCATGCATAACCCAAGGATGGAGTGGGCTAGGTTGACCCAAAATCCAAATAGAATTTACTGGGTAGATAGGGTAACCAAATCTGACCACTTAGGTGCCTGTTTGAATCAAGGAATTCCGACAATCTGGATAAAAATAATCCCAATAATTTTATTGGATTTTGAGATTCTAAAAATTTGTGAATTAAAATTCCTCTAAAATTTTAGGCCATTTGGATGAGATACTATGATTGTGAGATTTTTTTCTATCCAGATTCTCAAAATAGGAATTCAAACGGGGCCTTACATCCCTACCTGCCCTGTATGGTTGAGTGGCTTTTTGTGTATAAATAGATGCGCGTGTGTGACCTCCTTCTTGGGTCTCTCCTAGCCTCCAAGTCTCACAGCCTGCTGCTGCTGGAAAATTCGGCTTGTCTATCATTTTCCATTGACAGCGCGGGCAGCAATGAGGCGAAAAGGATGGCTAAAATGATCGATGCAAGGGCATGTCCCAAGAAAATGAGCAAAGGTCAAAGAAGGTCTCTGCTAAAGTAGCTAGCCGTCACCACTCACCAAGCTGTCGTCTGTGTTCCTTGCCTGGTGGTGGTCCTGCCTCAACTCAGACATGTTTTTCTAGTGTACACTAGTAGTAATATTAAAAAACACGCTTATCACAAAATTAAAGGAAAATGTTAAACGTGAAAGCATCACGCTTGGCAGTGTCCTGGTTAATTGAGATACCGCCATTTATTTCTCCCATCTGTTGCCAACGATTTGCTGCGCTCTGGGAACCATGAATTTTGGTATGGTTAACTCAAGCTCCACGTAATCTCCAAGAAGCAGCAGAATGCAAGTGGAGATCATCATTTCAATTCTCTCTTATTCCTGCTAGTTATATTTCGGTTCTGGCAGAAAAAAAAGGTTAAATCAACCGGCAGGGCGCTACCTTGATCACTCGTTGTTGGCTGCTAACCTTTACATTTCTTAAGAGGCTACACCATGGATCTTTCTTGATGAGTGGCTGCCAAAAGGCTCGGTGATGCTACCTCATGATCGAACAATATGCACAGCAGGATATATAATATAATACAATATATAGTAGGCTACTCCCTTGTCCTAGAAAGGAAGACGTTATGTGATGCGTGCATGTTAAACTTTCTTAACTTTGACTAGATTTATAAAAAATACGTGCAACATTTATATCTCCAAATAAATTTATTATGAAAGTATATTCAACCTTGATCTATCTTAAGATACACTCCGCCGGTGAAGTTTCGAACCCTTGCTCTCAAGTGCTAAACACAATGTGTATCACCTTTGTGCATGTGTGTTAGCATATTTTCACAAATGTTTTCAAGGGTGTTAGCATTCCACTAGATCCTAAATGCATATGCCATGAGTTAGAGCATATAGTGGCACTTTGATAGCCGCATTTCAATACGAGTTTCACCCCTCTTAATAGTACGGCTATCGATCCTAAATGTGATCATACTCGCTAAGTGTCTCGATCACTAAACAGAAAAGCTCCTATCAATTTCACCTTTGCCTTGAGCTTTTTGTTTTTCTTTCTTCTTCTCCAAGTCCAAGCACTTGATCATCACCATCATCATGTCATGATCTTCATTTGCTTCACCACTTAGAGTAGTGTTACCTATTTTATAATCACTTTGATAAACTAGGTTAGCACTTAGGGTTTCATCAATTCACCAAAACCAATCTAGAGCTTTCACATGGCGAGGTAGAATGCCAGTGGAGATGAAAATATAAAATATATAGATATAGATATAGATATAGATATAGATATAGATATAGATATAGATAGTGGCACTATATAAACGTGTCATATGAAGTCTTGAAGACTAACTCACTCCAATGGACAGATCTAGGCTAATATTAGATGTCACGTGGAGGGAGAGGTCAAAAATCTTTGAGCATGAAGAGAAGAGGTAGCTAAGCTCTTTGCGCGAGGTCTGAGACAATACTCTTCTCTCTCTCTTTTGACAGTAGAGAGAATATATGAATAAATTAATTAAAGAACAACTTATTTGATAAAATAACATCTAGGAACTAAGAGTCAGTACTTGACTCTTACTATTAGAGATGTCCTGTAAACTCTATACCTGAACCAGTATAATATACCTACCACAATCACCAAAATAGATAGGGTGGCGGACACTGCCTAATATTCTCAAAGTGAAGTAGTTTCTGTACAAACCAACCATTTTCACAAGCTGAATGTGGACATTCCAAAAATATACTGAAAAGAAATATGCGTAAATGCTTTTTAGGGAAAATATCTAGTAGTACTTTCCAACAATAAATGTATGAGAAAGCCTTTTTTGACATCACTTTCAGTTAAGTTGATCGTTAACACATCACTCTCAAAAAAAAAATTAATGGACACGGTGGCGGGAATTTGACATTTACTAGCTTTTGAAATACATTGATTTTGCCATTAATTATCATGCAAATGGCATCGTCATAAGTCTCAACCACATTTATTAGCTTGACATACAGACATTTGTGATCATTTTAATCTGCAAAAAAAAAATCTACATTTGTGATGACGGATGACATGTTAGCATTTTTTAAAAGAGAGAAAAGAGAAGGGTGCGGTTTGCTCTAGGTTAAACACCCTAGGTTTAGCTTCTAACTCTAGAAAAGAAAAAAAGTAAAATGTCTCATGTAGAGGCTCTGATACATAAAATGGTATTAGGCATTGAGGGAGGTTTTCAATCCATCGCTCATGGCTTCTTGACTTATGTCTCCTTGTTGGAAACAACGCTATAAAACACCTCGAAAGGGCCTTATGGTTCCTTGCCAGCCTCCATGTACCACGTCAGCTAAGCATTTCCTCGTACAAATCATAATTAACTGTACCACAAGATTATGTATAAATTTAATTATCATACTTTGCCTCTCTATTTAATTATTGCTGAAGTACAAACTACTAATTTCTAGTATGAACCTGTGCAGGAGCATGAGCTGATGGACTAGTTGATAGTCAAAATTTTAGAAAAAAATGACCAGATGAAGTCTACAATCATATCATTGTTTTCCGTTTGATGGAAAATATGTGGATGTATATCTACGTTCAAGTGTGCTTCAGATGCTTCTATATATAAAATATTAAGGTAGAATACTTCAACCTTGTTGGTTTTGTTAAATTTTCCAAACTCCGACATTATGCATGGGTGAGGAAATCTTTTAACAACACGCAATTCATGTGCATGGGTGTGGCCTACGAACGAATTCTAACGGGTTGGTTGGTTTGAGCGACGGTTGTGTGTCAACCACCGAGCAAAAGTTTTAATTAGTCACCGACTCACCGATCGTCCTCTGCGCCGGCGCGTCCCTAGCCGCAGCTGCCAGCAGGAATCCATGACATGGGATCCCAATCTTGCAGTACGTCAGGGCAGGCTCTCTCTGATGGTAGGGTTGGTGTTCTTTGGTGGACGAACCATGCATAACCCAAGGATGGAGTGGGCTAGGTTGACCCAAAATCCAAATAGAATTTACTGGGTAGATAGGGTAACCAAATCTGACCACTTAGGTGCCTGTTTGAATCAAGGAATTCCGAGAATCTGGATAAAAATAATCCCAATAATTTTATTGGATTTTGAGATTCTAAAAATTTGTGAATTAAAATTCCTCTAAAATTTTAGGCCATTTGGATGAGATACTATGATTGTGAGATTTTTTTCTATCCAGATTCTCAAAATAGGAATTCAAACGGGGCCTTACATCCCTACCTGCCCTGTATGGTTGAGTGGCTTTTTGTGTATAAATAGATGCGCGTGTGTGACCTCCTTCTTGGGTCTCTCCTAGCCTCCAAGTCTCACTGCCTGCTGCTGCTGGGATAGCTTGGACGCACCACCTGCAGCACCATAACACTGCTTGTCCTCTCTCTTCTCTTTCTAGCTCCCTGAAGCAAAGAATCAATCGTACGTGATCGATGATGTACGAGTACGACAGCATGGACGCGGCGAGGATCGTAGCGTATTTTAAGGGCAAGAGCATCCTCATCACCGGCTCAACTGGCTTTCTTGGGAAGAGTATGTTATATGCCGTCTCTCCTGCAAACTAATTAAAGGAGTAGCTAGTGTAGCTTGCATTGTGTGTTATTGAGTTTTTCTTGTGTTTTACTTTACATATACATATATATTATATAAGTGACTTTGTACATGCATACAATGCATGCAGTTCTTGTGGAGAAGATACTCCGGGTGCAGCCTGATGCCAACAAGATCTATCTTCTTGTACGAGGGAAGGACGCGTCATCTGCTAAGCAACGCGTCCAAGAAGAGGTCATTACTTCACTTTGCTTACACACTTCTCTCTTGCTTTACAGCGCCTGTTAACCGCGCAGCAGATGCAGTCCTCACTCCGTTCAGGCGGAAGCGGAGGCAGTGTTACAATTTTGAGCGCAACTAGGTGGCCTGACACACAGTCACTTACAGGATCGGAATCGGATTAGCATTGCCGGCGTCATTTTCTTTTGAATGAACTCGGCCTTTCAATGGCGCATTTTCTTTTGAACAAACCCATCTGCCTTTCCATTAAGAAGAGAGGTTTTATAGATTTATATACACAAGTGCCAAGGACCAAACATCCGAGAGCAACACACAGGATAGGAGAGAAAAAACATACAGCTCACAAAATAAAACCCCAATTGTGACTAAGGAGGATGCAAACGGTGAGCTCTTTTATTTAGGTCTAGATTTTCCTTGATCCTTCCACCAACTTGGGGACCGTGGCATGAGTTGCGTCGAAGATCCTGTGGTTGCGCTCCTTTCATAGGTTCCGCATGGTGTAGATAGCTAGGTCGTTGAACGCTCGCTCGCGTTCTTGGGGCACCAATAGTAGTGTCTTCTCCCACCAATCTGCTAAGGTGTCAAAGGGCTCTCAAGAGAGAACTTGAAACCATACTACGTGCGCAAAAGGACATGCCAGGCAATGGTGGTATAACTGCTCTCTAGCGGCTCATTGTACAGAGCACAGGTCTCGTGGTGAGGCCTGAGAGGTCGTCTGCCGTGAGGATTTTGTTTTAAATAAGATTTAGGTGAAGATATTGCATTTGTTTTCCGTGTGTACCCGCCGAATGATGTATATTTGGTACCGTCGATAAGAGCCTTAGAATTGTGCCCGCAGAATGCATTGCCAGCGCCATGGGAACAAATGTTTAGCATGCAACCTCGTGAGCTCTATTGAATTAATTATGCTAGCTAGCTCTTCGTTCACTGCATACGTACATATTAGTTGACGACCAGTACTCATTCTAAAAAGATACAATTCTAGAATAATATTTGGTCAAATGATCTGAAGTTTTGATCAAGTTGATATAAAAACATAATAAACTTTATCAAATTATTAAAGTATGAGCCATTGTCACTCTCCATCAGGCTGTCCCTCACTTCTGCCCTTCTTGTCTCTCTTGGTTCATGGCTCTTCTCTGTCTATCTCTCACTTTCATTCCTCCGGAACCCACCAGAGAGGCAGACTGTACGTATCCTCCTTCAGGAGGACGACGTCAGTTACAAATTGTACATCTAGAGTTACATTTTTAAGCTCACTACAATTGGCATGAGCAGGTCCAGATGACCGCACAACAATTTATGCATCCACTGCAACACACAAAACATACCTACTAGTATATATCATTAAATTTGATCTTATGGGAAATATATTTCCATAGCATACATAATGAAGTCATACATGTTGATAGTATTTCCTATAGACTTAATCAAACTCAATTTACTATCAGTGCATGTAGAATGTGTAGGGCAGGCCAAAAGATATTTTCAAGTCTACAAGACGACCGAACACGTTTTTGCCATAATATACTATCAGTGCATGTGCAGGTGCATGCATTTCATCCCTAGTTCCAAACCAGCCAGCAGTAAATAATTCATGATACGATACGATACAGCCTTCCAAAACAGTGTTCCAAAAAGGCGCATTCGTAGCCCGGCATCTCCATCGTGTTCAAAAAAGGCGCCACCAGTGACCAGTCCTCTCCCTCTCACTACTGTATGTTGCAGAACCGACCGTCAACGATCCTTGGACATATCCAGTTAAAGGCCTATACAGTACTCCTTCCTTCCGTCTAAAAAAATGTCTCTATGATGTTCGGTTATTTTTTTAAAAAATATTAGATTTATAAAAAATATTATTAAATAATTATATCTATAAATAAGTTTACCAAAAAAACAATATTGATGGAAAAAGTCTACTTAACCCCAACCTTTCATACATGATCTACTTCATCCCCAACTATGAAACCATCTGTTTTACTCCCTGAACTTTTCAAAACCGTCTATTTTACCCCCGGACGGTTTTTGACAGTGGTTGCTACAGTAGCAGCGGGTTGCTACCGTAACGATGGGGTTGTTACAGTACCGGTGGGTTTGAATTTTCTTTTTTTATTTATTTTCGGTGAATTTTTGAAAAATCATATAGAAAAATCATAAAATGAAAAATCTAATTTTATTGGAATCCACATGAGTAGATCTACACAGTGAATATATAATACGGTATACTTTAGTACAATTTTTTTTGTAGCTTTAGATTAATTGGAAAATCTATTTTTTCTGTAATTAATTAGAATTTATCTATAACTAAGTTATACATAGTCCAATGAGTACAAAATTTTTACTATAGTTCAATCATACAATAATTAGCGTACCATAAAAATTTCACCATAATTGGACCATAGAAGCTGCAGCTATGAATTATTCCAATTAATTACAGACAAAATTAGATTTTTCAATTAATCTAAGGCTACAGTAAAAATTTTGTACTAAAGCATACCGTATTATATATTCACTATGTAGATTTACTCATGTGAAGTCCAATAAAATTAGATTTTTCATTTTATGATTTTTCTATGATTTTTCAAAAATTCACCGAAAAGAAAGAAAATTCAAACCCACCGGGACTGTAGCAACCCACAGTACTGTAGCAGACCCTCTGTTACTCTAGCAAACCCGCTGTCAAAAACCATCCGGGGAGTAAAATAGACGGTTTTAGAAAGTTCAGGAGTAAAACAGACGGTTTTATAGTTGGGGGTGAAGTAGACCATGTATGAAAGGTGGGGGTTAAGTAGATTTTTTCTCAATATTGATTATGCACCATAAATATTGTATATAATTAGCCTGACTTCTTGAGAGGTGAGAATGCTAGTCTTATAAAACAGGGCGAGTACATTTCGTGGTTTATTATTATTGGATGTGATGACTGCGGCCCCTATAAGCTAGTGAACAGTGTGATAGCAGTAAGGCTGTGTTTATTTTTTGAAATTTGGGAATTTTGATACTGTAACAGTTTCGTTTTTATTTGGCAATTAGTGTTCAATCATGGACTAATTAGGCTCAAAACGTTCGTCTCACGATTTCCAACCAAACTGTGTAATTAGTTTTTTTTCGTCTACATTTAATATTCCATGCACGTATCGTAAGATTCGATGTAATTGCTACTATAGCACTTTTTGGAAAACTTTTTAGAACTCAACACAGCCTAAATAATCCAGCACTCTTGCCCGTCGTGTTCGTCAGTAATGGCCACACAGAGTACCCGGTCACTTCTCATCATCAAGCTAGCTAGCTACTCCACCCAAAATTGAATTGAATGATCATGAGACATGTCGATGGTTGGTTTCATATAGGTACTCCAATAATGCTAGCTATTACCTACTAGCTGCTCCATCGGTCCATTCGTACCATACTGTACATAGGATCGGAGTACTCTAGATGGCTCACGTTTTTTTTCCACGTTCCCTCAACCTCTACGTCCTGAAAACGAGAAAATTTTATTTCTCACGTTATAAAATAATACCCTAAGTTCCCGTTCCGACAATAGAAACGAGAACATGACGGCTAAGTTCTAGACATGCAAGGTAGGTTGGTCATGAACCCGCAAATAAGTTTAATTTTTGCTAGTTGGTACAATCAGCAAAATTTTAGTTTATTCGTAGGTTCGCTGATAACTTTCCTAGAGTACTTTCATCCCAAACGAATGCAGTTCCAGGCTTTGGAGAAATTAAAAAAATTTAAGTTTAACAATGTTTTAGAAAAAAATATAAACAGTTATGCCTTCAATTAAATATACTACGAAAATACATTTCATAATCAGTCTAATTTATCAATATCATAATGTTTATAATTTTATATAGATTTAATTAAACTTAAAATTGTTTGACTTCTCGAGAAAAGTGAGAATTATATATATTTTTAAACTGATGGGAGGGAGTATTTATGCTATGTATATGGACTCCAAAAATTATATTTAGCAAGGGATAGTTGCCACCCAGCAACTAACAATGGACAACAACCTATAAGCTAAGGAGTCCAAATATAGCTAGCTAGTTTTTTTATTACTATTAGCTAATAGCTTTCTATTTATTCCGTAAGTTGTAAGAGCAAGGCTAATAATACAGTCGGCCTACCTGCTATAAGGGTCTTAATTTGCAGTTTTCTCCTAGCCCACCCATCTAGTAGTCAGTTCTTCACTATTAATACATGGCACACTTGTCTCTCTCACAAAGTTTCTCGGTTCTTGTATCTAAGCCGATTGTAAGCTTACAACCCGCTTCTCTTCTCTCTTATCTTCTCTCTTCTCCACCTCAGTATTTAGCCGGCTTACAAGGTGCTATTATACTTGCTCTAACAGATCCAAATAGTACTGGCTAGCTTTTTACTAGGCAAATTAATTTAAGTGCATGCATGGGCTGTTGGAACTGTTATCATTTTCAATTCAAAAACAGAGGCGATTGTATGTACTACTCCAGTAACATTTAGGGTCTGTTTGGTTCGCCTAGTAGCTATTAAATTTAGTAGCTTTTAGTCACTTTAGTAATTTTTAATCAAACACTATAACTAAAAGCTACTAAAAAGGTTATTTTAGTTATCTCTAGTAACTCTATAGTTACTAAAAATGACTAAACTGTTTAGTAGCTACTAAAGTTTAGTAGTTCGAACTAAACACCCCCTTATTGATGCCAGCTTCTTTTAATTCAGTAGTACCTAAGAGCATGCATGGTCCAATAACATTTTTACAAGCAAAGTGATGTTGAGTACCAACTAACAATAATTCCGCGGTGTGTGCATGCACGCAGGTGATTGGTAACGAGCTGTTCGGCAAGCTGAGAGAGAAGCACGGCGAAGATGGGATGCAGCAGTTCATGCAGGAGAAGATTGTTGCCTTGCCAGGGGATATCATCTACGACAACCTGGGACTGGATGCTCCTACGCTGGAGGCTCTGGCCAAGGACATAGACATCATTGTGAACATTGCGGCAACCACCAACTTCTACGAAAGGTTCTTATTATTCGTGCCTTCAGTAGCTAACTAGCTAGGTCAAATAAATTAATAAGTGCATGCATTGTTAACATTATTTGTTAATTATCTAAATGGAGTACTAGAGCTAGCCAGGCCAATACTTTAACTTATTATGCTTGTATATTTGCACGAATAATCTTCATTTGAGAAATAATTATTTGAAGGAAAATGGTAGGTTACTGTTTTTTTTACAAGCTAGGTTCTAAATCTTCAACTGTAGCTTTCTCTATAGCCGGAGATAGCTTCTAAGAAGTGCCACCGCTAGAAGATTCAACTATTGCTGCTACGATTTAGCTGCCGCTAAAAGCCCGAGATAGCCCCCCATAGCCGCCATATGGGCATGAAAGCTCCGGCTGTAGCTTCTAAGTTTGTGACAAGTATGTCCCGTAAGCCACACTCATGATGAACTAATGATGATGGTACGATGAAAATGTTATGTTGTTAAATAACTCTCTTATGATTTACTCATATAGTCTTATGTGAATTGATTATTTGGAATTAATCACTGACGTTTGTTATATTAGTTTCTGTTTTTTTATTTTCTAAAACCGCTAAATGGCTAGCTACCGCTATAGCTAGCTAAATCTGTTCTTAGCTGTTGGAGAAGACAACCGCTAAGAGGCTTAGCCCTTTATTTTTTTTTAGAAGTGACAGCAAAAGGCTTTGCCGTAGATGATGTCCCCAGGCAAGGCAACCATCTTCTCTTGCAACCAACTGGGATAAAAACCCAAACTACACGTACAGCCCAACTATCGGAAAAACAAACACCAATACAAGAGAGGCGCAAACTGTCACTGTCCAGCAACCACTGAACTGACTGCAACTACCGGACTACTGGAGCACCGCTGGTTCTTGCACGGGGGCCATCAGGCCATGGCCGCACGGTACTGAATAATGTCATCCTTATCCCCCTTTTAAAACTGATTTTTTTATGACTTGTGTAGATATGATGTCTCGTTGGACGTGAACGTGATGGGGGTGAAGCACCTCTGCCACTTCGCTCAGCAGTGCGCCAACCTCAAGATGTTCATGCATGTCTCCACTGGTCAGTAAAACTCCCGATCAATGTTCTAAATCTCCGGCTAAAATATTTAACGGATGGCTTCTCAAACAGCTAAACAGCGGAGTTAAATGAAGCTATGGCAGGCTATAGCCGCTAAATTATATATGGACACAAATACAATAGTTTGATCTGTTTCAATTTTCAAATAGCTATAGTCAATCATAGCGGCAGCTGTAAATGGAGATTTAAAACCTTGCACCTGACGCAAGACGAAGCAAGAAGAGAGCCTGTGAGGTCAATTAATCTTAATGACATTAACTTTGCATTATTGGTCTATCATAGCGGCAGCTGTAAATGGAGATCTAAAACCTTGCTCCCAATGCAAGACGAAGCAAGAAGAGAGCCTGTGAGGTCAATTAATCTTAATGACATTAACTTTGCATTGGTCTATGTTTGCAGCTTATGTCTGCGGCGACAGGGACGGGCTCCACCTGGAGAAGCCCATAAAGCCCGGCGAGTCGCTGCTCGAGGGCAAGTACCTCGATGTCGACGCCGAGCTGCGGCTTGTCAGAGAAGCCAAGAAGGAGCTCATGGACGCCAGTGACGACGAGCACAAGAAGACGGAGAGGAAGGCCATGAAGGAGCTGGGCATCCAGAGGGCTCGCCACTTTGGGTGGTCCAACACGTACATCTTCACCAAGGCCATGGGGGAGATGGTCTTGGGGCAGCTCCAGGGTGACATGCCCGTGGTGATCATGCGCCCCAGCATCATCACCAGCGTCCGGGAGGACCCGTTGCCGGGGTGGATGCAGGGCACGCGCACCATCGACACGCTCATCATCGGCTACGCCAAGCAGAACCTCTCCTGCTTCCTCGGCGACCTCAGCGTGGTCGTGGATGTCATCCCGGGGGACATGGTGGCCAACGCCATGATGGCGGCCATCGTGGCGCACTCGGAGGAGAAGGCCCCGGAGGCGGTGCCGGTGTACCACGTCACCTCGTCGCTGCTCAACCCAGTCGCCTACTCCGTTCTGTACGAGTCCGCCCTCCGGCACTTCTACGAGAACCCTCGCGTGGGGAAGGACGGCAAGGTCATCCCCACCAGGGAGATGCGCTTCTTCCCCACAATCACGCAGTTCCACCTCTACATGATGCTCACATTCAAGCTGCCACTAGAGGTCAGATAAGTGATACTTCTGTATTATACTCCCTCTAATTCAGAATATAATTAATATAATGTATGTATACCTTTTTAAGATTGACAATAGCTACTACATTCATTCTCTAAACTGGAGTAATATTTAATCATATAGGTCATGTGTCAATATGTCCTTCAACCTACTCCCTCCGTCCTAGAAAGACTGTCATCCTAGCATTGGGTATGGAAACCAACAAGGAAGCAAAAAGAATAGAATATCCCTGCATTCTCTCTCGTGCTCTCCTCCCCATCTAGATCCAGGCCTCCCATCGGCGGAAAAGAGGTGAGAGGACGCACCTCCTCCTTGCCCGACGGCTGCACTTACCTGAGGTAGCGGCGCCATGGGCCGCATCGTCCTACCGTCCGCCTCCTGAGCTGGGCGTCGATCTCGGTGACAGCTATGCGTGGATCTCGGTGGGGCGCTGGATAGAAAAGAAGGAAGGGGGCGGAGCCTACTCAGGATGCGCCGCCGCCGGATTCGCCTCGATGTCGGTCCGCTCCACGTCTGCGGTCACCAGTAAGCCGAGTCCGCGATCGCCTCGTCGCTAGTCCGCTCTGCGTTGAGCGTCGCAAGGGATCCTACGTCCTGCGTGACCGATCTGCTCCGCGTCGCGCCCCGCTAGGGAGGCACCACCCGCTCGCACGTCGACACCCCGTCCCGCCTGGATCCAACGACTTCGCACCCTCTCCGTCCTAGGCTCCTCTCCGACAGCGCGAGGGAAGGGGAAGCCACAGGCAGGGGGAGGGGAGGAGTAGAGGGGGGAGACCGACGGAGGAAAAGAGGAGAACGGGCGCTGACCTCCCGTGGGCAGATGAGAAGAGGAGGACAACCGGCGGAATAGAAGAGGAGGAGGTCACTGGTGGAGAGGAAGAGAGGGCGGTGGAAAAGAGAAGGGAGGGGATCACGAGGGCAGGACGGGGCAAGTGGGATGGTCGGGGGAGGGGAGAAAGGAATCTTACGTGGGATCCATGTCGAAAATGATTGGGACATGATTCAAAGACTACAACGTCATTTTTTTTGTTTGGGACAGAGGGAGTACATTTAGAATTGGAGGGGAAATTAAATGTCTTGCGCTTGCTAATAATTGTAGTGTAGTTGTCTGATTTGTCTCAATTACTCAAGTGAGCTGTTTGTGCACTGTAGTTTTTGCACTTGGTGAATCTGCTCCTCTGTGGGCTCTTCGCACGGCTCTACAACGACCTCGACTGCAAGTACAAGTTTGTCATGCATCTTGTTGACGTCTATGGACGCTTTGCCTTGTTCAACGGATGGTAATTAATTAGTTACCCTTCAGCTTGTAATTAATTAGGAATTGGACTATAATGTGTGAAAATTGATCGTCCATACTAATTATGGTATAGTCTACGTTGTACTATGTAATTCGAAAAAATATATATAACAAAAAAACTCGTGTAGTACATCCCTCTTGTTGGTGGTGCAGAGGCAAGACGTTACCGCTTATCTCCATTATTATACTTATGTAACAAAACAAAGTCATTAACACATTTCCTATATATTTTTTGGTTGGTTGATGATGAAGCTTTGATGACATGAACATGGAGCGGTTGAGGTTGACGATGGTGATGCAGACCCCTGAAGATCAAATGTTCAATTTCGACCCCAAGACCATCGACTGGGATGATTACTTCACCAGAATCCACATCCCTGGTGTTCTCAAGTATCTGTGCAAGTGAAGCCTCCTTTGATTAGTATAAAGCTACATCTCGCCTTCATCTCGGCGAAAATAAAGTTCGTTGGACAAGCGCGTATGTGGGTGATTATGAAGGAAATAAAAGAAAAGGTGGCATACTATAAGTCGACTCTATTGTAAGTAACTTGTATATTTGCATTGGAGAAATGCCATATATCTTAAATATATAATCTCACAGCTTATCTCAGTTATGAACTTGTAATCTGTGTTTGTATCCATGATATGCTAACATGTCTTTAGGCCCTGTTTGGAACGTGGGAATTTTTTTTCCTGTTCCTATGTTTTTCATGTGAAAATAAACTGATTCTTATGAAATTCCTGCGCAATTTCTTTAGAATTCTTGCGTTCCAAACAGGCCCTTAAAGTACATGCAAATAAACAGCACGACCACCCTCAACAAGTTTCCCTCTGATGCCGAGAACAACGTTTTAAGATAATGTAACTGTACACAATCTTAATACTTCCAGTTTGTTGGAAATGTTAATTGATTTTCAAAAATATATATATACAATAGAAGCATCCATGATATACTTGAATACTATAGGTATCAATCATCGTTACCTTTTTTTTCTCTGGATGAAAGAAATACAGACAAAAATAAAATGTGTGAAGTCAGCAGAGGATACCAATATTCATTATTTGTGCTAATTATTACTAGATTAATTGATGCCAAATAATGACCAAGTCTGCAACCCTTGGCTCATCCTGATCTCACCATGGCACATTCTTTTATCGGCATGTTTTATCCCTGACAATCCCCCTCCTCAATTAATTAGCCTGTATAAGGTTAGTGCGTCCTCTGCGTGTGTGTATGTGTGCGCGCGCTTCCTTTGGAACCCAACCAAAATGCAGGACAAACAGAGATGCAATTTCTTGCATTGGATCTACTAGCAGGAGCACACTGAGATCACGCAGAAACTCATCATGCTTTGAGAGGACATCAATGCTTACGGGCTGGCTGACGATACATTTCCATCGAAGCTGGGCCTGGGCGGCTGGGCCAGGCTATCCATCCAAAACACAAATCGATTTCAGACTATGGTCCTGTTCGTTTCGCTGAAATTTAGCTTTAGCTGCTGCTTATGCTGAAATGTTATGAGAGAAAAATACTTTATTCACTGAAAAGTACTGCTGAAGTAGTACACATATGTTTTCACACATTATCTTGGTCCAGAGCACTTGAACCATGACTGGATTCATTTCCTGGTTGACACTTCCATGCCTGGAGTTTCACCCTAGTTCGATGCATTTTTCTACTAGCCCGGCCTAATTTACATTTAAGTTTGGCAAATTAAGGTGAGGAATGCATCAGCATACCTGATTCTGTAACCTGTTGCTCAATCCCCACCATAGGGTTTACTGCTAGGAAAAGAATATTGTCAGAACAGCTCAGCCACAGCCAAAAAAAGAAGAAGAAGAAGAAGAAGATATGACTGGTTCTCATCTCAGCCAGCAAATGGTTGGCTTTATGATTGCATTTGTAATTTTATTTTATATTCCCTGATAATCCCACTTTTCATGATTTTTTAAGCTGGCGACATATATACCACCTTCAATGCTTCCTTAGGTAGTAGGTACCGTTTGGTTTTGGTTGCTAATCTTGATAAAAATGATCTGATGTGTTTTATTTGTTTGGATGAGATTCTAGGATTTTTATTTAGTTTGGATTCTAAAAACCTCATGGTAACCAAACCGGGACCTTATCTGACTGGACGATTGGATCCCTCCATCGCGTCACCCTCAGCTGGCTTTCGTTGTTATCCCCAGCCACAGGTTTTGTCCTCCTCCGTCTCCCAAATTCCCAGTCTCGTAGCGTAGCCTGCACTGCATCTGCTTGCGGCACCAGTTCCTTCCTCAGTGCTAACTGCTCGCAGGTCGCACCGCATCTCCTTCAACGCGCGCTCCGAGTCGCACTCTCCTTTCTCTCAATCGCTCCCCCTATTTTAGTAGTGCCGTGGTGCGGCAGTGCAGTACGACTGTTCTCGCACCTTCCGTTCACGCAAGCGCAACCTGCTCCTCTCGTTGTCTCAGATCCCCGCCACGCCTCCTCCTCGTCCACCGACCACCACTCTCCCCTGCAAACGGGATAAGAGGAAGAGAAACCACGCGGCGAAAGGAACAGGAGTACACGAGTGAGAGAAAAAAAAAATATCTCTGATCGAGATTCCTGCCCCGGCTAATAGAATCTTGGCAGCCAGCCATGGATATACTGCTAGGTTCCGGGAGATTCTTCGCGCGACGGCCTCCCCTCGCGCTCGTCCCTCGCTGCTCTCGAGGCTCCCCGGACAAAAGCGGCAGCAACAAAGGTAAGCGTTCTGAACTCCTGATAGCTGTCACTGTCAAGTTCTTTGGTGGCTACCGTACAAGTGTTTGGTGAAATGCCGCAGTGGATTACGTACCTGACTAGTAGCGGTGTCAGTCAGTCTAGCGTTGTGATCAAAGCGTCAGTATGGCTGATTAGAGGTACAGTACGGTTTGAGTTGCCCAGTCATCACATCAGGAATTCAGGATGCAACTGCCTGCTTTCCTCGTTTATAGGTTGATGTGATCTGTTTATCTGATCGCGTAGGGCTTTGTGTGCTAAGATTGTTTGAGTTGGATGATGCTTGCTTTGCTTGCTTCAATTTCAAGAGGTGCAGGTTTTGGTGGTTGTCTGCAACCTTACCTTAAGACAACGTATGTATAATTTGAGTTTGACGTAAAGAAATGTATTAAGGCGAAGAAAAATCAACGATGCACCAATTGTGTAGATTGTCCTCATGTTGGTGTTCATTTCCCTCTCCGAGTGTCTGGGTGAGGTTAACAGTGCACAATCCAGCAGTTAGGTCCTGAGTAATCATAAACAATTTTTGCTCCATTTTTTGGTCTTTGACACGATGCGAATTTTGCTTCGCTGTAATCGAAACCTTTTCTCTTTTTTTTTAAGTGTCAGCACTGTGATGGTTTTGAAGAAGAGAAAACAGTGTTTCTGCCTTCTGGAGATTTTCACACTCGAATTTGCATTGTTTTCCGTATAGTGCCTAATCCCTTTACACAAAAAGTCACTGATTTTTTTTGAGCAACATCACCGGGGGAGCTGAGAGGCTCCACCTGAATATACTTGGCTTTGATGCTGCTTATCCATACATTTGCTTTGGTGGATAGTTGGTGATGATGATTTATGAATTTCCATCTTATAGTTGGTTTTAAAAGTCTATTCTACGGCTAGAAGGTTATGCATGACCTGAGAAACCTCTCATGGTCAGAATTTTGTTTCTGTACTAATGAAATAATACTAGATGACTTGGGGCTCTCCTGCAAAACAAAACCACAGGTATGCAAGGAGAGATGGACCACTGTTCTAATTCACAAACTTTGCTCCCATCAACCTGAAAACACAAAGGATATTACTTTATATTGTTCCTTTGCACAGGATGTTTGGACATCTAACTGGATGTAGATGGCTAACTGTAGCTCTAGTCTGCAATTGCAAAAGACCTCCTGAAAAGTGTTGGTAGTGGATTCTAGTGTTAGTTCTGGTGGAAAGGAGAATGGAAGCGAGTGCCATCGTTGCCTACACCTTGTGAAACCGTTGGAATACACCAAACCATAGTGTATCAAAACTCGAATGTGACAACAAGATAGCATCTACTACTTCATCAGGGAGGATATTGCTCAAAGAAAGTTAGCATTAGGAAGTTAAAACCTTTTGTATCCTGGGTTCGAGTCGCGGTCTCCTCGCATTGCACAGGCGAGGGTAAGGCTTGCCACTGACACCCTTCCCCATGTTGGCCCACAGTTAGCCTCGCAGACCACTCGTCTCCCAGACCACTGGCCCCAGACCACTAGTCTCCCAGACCACTAGCCCTAGACCACTAGTCTCTCAGACCACTAGTCTCCCAGACCACTCCGTTGGTCTCACAGGATCTCCGGCTCACGACAGTGAACCACTCCAGCCGATCTTGCCGAGCACCGGCTCAGGCGAGTGGAGCACTTGAGGGTCTCGCCGAGCACGCGCTAGTATTGCCGAGCACACACTAGCCGTGCAGACCACGTACCGGCGTTGTCCGTACCCACACACTACGGATCGAGCTAGAAGAAGAAGGGAGAACAGAGCAAGCACGCACAATACAAGACAACAGCGTTGGCCGAAGCCCTGTCTGTGTGATGGCAAATCTGAGCTCTCTTTACTGAGTTGCCATACATGTCTATTTATACAACTCTAACTATCTAGTCCATGTGCAGCGCCCAAGCTGGCACAGTAACTAGATAACCTGACAGGGCTGACTCTGCGCCGGCCACTGCCTGTTCCTACAGTGCTGCAGGTGAGCCGTGCGGCGCCTGCACCTGCAGCGGCTACTGTATCACAGCAGGGGGCAAAGTCGGCGCCGTCTTCCCTTCTGTGTTCACACACAGCAGGCAGCTAAGTCGGCGCCGCCTTCCTCTGCTGTGTTCACACAAGGTGGCAGTAGATTAGCTAACACCCCAGACCCCGCACAGAGCGGGAGCTCTCTGCACTGGGTACGCCCTTTATAGATTTTGATCGTTTAGATCTCCTGATGTGACCCACTGTAATTCAGACGTCTGCTGGAGCAAATGGCTTAGTTTGAATCCACCATACTGGAATTCAGTACTCGAAATTCAAAGTTGGTTCCTAGAGCTGACAGCCACTGGACTCCCTCGTGCACCTAGTAGTGTGGACGATCTGGAAACAATGAAACAGCAGAATTTTCCGTCGTTGAGAAAAGAACGAAAGCTCGATCTTTGAAGAAATCCATGACCAAGTAGTCTCCTGGAGCATGTTGAGCATCAGACCTTTGTCCACTTTAGTTGTAAACTCAGTTAGTGAGTAGTCAGTTTTCCTCCTCCCTTTCTTTTGCCTGGCTGGTGGTCTACCAGCTTAAGAGGCGATGCGCTTGTATTTCTGACTCTTCTTATTAATACAAGCCAGCTATAAGCTGGTACTTTAAAAAAAAGTTGACCCACTGTACCTTTTAAAACTTCTCACTTTCCTTTTTTATTAAGATGGCACCATTCCTGCCTTCCTTTTTAAACAAGAAAAAAAAAATGCACTTCTTATCTGTTCATAGTTAGTTTATTTTAGATACCGTTATGAAGGTAGCAATAACCATTTCTTTTCTTCCTCGTCAGGTGAAACCTCTACTGACTGGGACAAGGCATGGACTACCTTTAAGAAGAAAGGGAAGAGGACCCTCTTTTCTGATTTCTCACCAAACAAGTTTGTGACCTGGAACCCACGGCGCAGCGAGTATCCATTGTCAGAAGAGGTTGATCCAATCAAGAGAACTGAAAGATCTAACTTGATGCTGTGGACAAGTCCCCAGTTTACCTTGGTGGGGGCAATTATCATCGTCTTGACATTACTAATCTATACACTAGTTGTTCCTCCCAAGTAACTGCAGAAATGACAGCTAGGAGGTGAGCTGTTAACTAAGATTTCATCTGGGAAGTCTGTATTGTACATTTTTACGTGTATTATACCAACTATAGCAGTATTGCTTCAATTGTCAATCAAGTAGATATAACACCACGTTCATTCCATTCTGAAGGTTTTCTTCAATTGTATACTAAATGGCTGCTCTCTGAGTCTTTATTCCTTCATTATAACAGAAGAATATTTGGGTCAGGTAGAATAATACATGTTGATGCTCCTGATGTAACTTTTGTGCATGTTCTCACTTTTCAGCAACTGCAATGTGTGATCATCGAATATTAGCTGTATTAATCTGTGAAGGGTAGTTTGTAGTGTTGGGACTGTTTGGGCAAGTAGACATGTGCAAAGTATCAATTGGAAACTGATGGACACATGAGAATCACGTTTCTTATTACAGAAAAATTCAAGTCAAACAAGACAGATCAAGGCAGACAAGAATCTTGCTTAGATGTAAAGCTATGTAACTAACCTTGTTTCCTAGGCCCTAAATAATTGGCTTATGTCTCTTGTGTTGGAGGCATCAGGATGGTGTGTTTTAATATTTTGTTGAATATATAGAGGAAATGCAATTGCAAAATAACATATCTAGGCTCTCAGGTTATGTTGAAGACTTTGGTCGTTACATCTTTATATGAAGCATCTTGGATCAAGTCAAACTTAAGACTTTTCATCCTTCAGACTTGAAACACTCCAAGTTTTGACTCTTGTGTGCTGTTGCATTGTCGGTCCAGTAAAAAGAGATTGGTGCGGTTCTGAAATTACGAACCATAATTTTTAGCATTCTTAAGATAACAGACTGTTTAGAGCATCTGGAGTTGGTTGTGTTACCTTCAGTCCTTCACTAATGACCAAAAAAAAAACAGTTTACATTTCAGCTGAAAACAGTGCAGAACATATAACTTACAATGTTGTTTTATGAATTATTACCGTGAGTCCGTGATAGTTATTATTTTTGTCTCTTGCTTTTGTTGCTATTGCACTGTGTTTAATTCCAGACAGTAGCAAACAAAAAATTGGTCCATGCTGATGACCAAAGACTTTTCTTTCCCTGTGTGAACGGAATAGATGGATCACACAGAGGGGTAGTGTGTCATTCAAGTCAACTGCTCTCTGGATGACCAAATAATTTCGTCTAACAACCTTGGCCCATCTGTACCTGTATTTTAGTGGCTCATTGACTGTGCATTATTGTACAAGTTATCAAACAGATGCCTTAGGTCCAGTTTAGTTCCAGAAAATTTTACCAAATTTTTCAGATTTCCCGTCACATCGAATCTTTAGACGCATGCATGAAGTATTAAATATAAATAAAAAATAAAACTAATTACATAGTTTAGATGAAATTCACGAGACGAATCTTTTAAGCCTAATTAGACTATGATTGGACACTAATTGCTAAATAACAACGAAAACGTTACAGTAGCGTTTTGCCAAAAATTTTGGCAACTAAACTGGGCCTTAGTCATGGACCTTCAAGTGCCCCAAAACCAGACATAAACTAAGGGCCTGATGGCGAAAATTTTTGCAAAATACACTGTAGCACTTTTCGTTGTTATTTGATAATTAGTGTCCAATCATAGTCTAATTAGGCTTAAAAGATTCGTCTCGTGGATTTCGTCTAAACTGTGTAATTAGTTTTATTTTTTATTTATATTTAATGTTTCATGCATGCGTCCAAAGATTCGATGTGACGAGAAATCTTGAAAAAATTGGCGTTTTGAAGAGGAACTAAACAGGCCCTTACAAAGAACCAGAACTGAACTGCATAATTCTATCTAGTTTTAGCAGTGAATCTCTATTTTCTTTTCCTGTTCTTGTCTGGAGACCAAATCCCATTGCTAGATATTGATTAATGCTTAGACCATGTACAATCACCATGGGGAATTGGACAGCCAGACAATGGCATAATTTTCTATGGCAAGCCAGCTAGATGGCTGATCAGAGAATCTAGCCAGTCGTAGTCCCAATATATTTTCAGATCAGCTTTGTGACTACTCTACCCAAACACCGAAACGTCAGATTGGCTGGTGGCCATTGTTCTTGTAAGGCCTTGTTCAGATCCAGTCTATAAAGTTTTGGGGTGTCACATGGGGTGTTCGGATATAAATAAAAAAATAAATTACAGAATCCGTCAGTAAACCATGAGACGAATTTATTAAGCCTAATTAATCCATCATTAACGCATGTGTTACTGTAGCGCTTTATTGTCAAATTATGGACTAATTAGGCTTAAAAGATTCGTCTCGCAAATTAGTCGTAAACTGTGCAATTAGTTATTTTTTAGTCTATATTTAATACTCCATGCATATGTCCAAATATTCGATGTGACAAGGTGTGAACTAAATAAGGGCTAAATCAGATTTGATCGCTGGTAACCATCAAAGATGGCTGATTATTCTTCACATTGCACAGTTGTCACTTGGCTGGCAATGCATCCACAGATACCATGGAGGTTGAATCAGAGGCCATGCAGCACAATGCACTGCACACAAGACGGGAGTCTTTTTGGACTGAATGCAGGACAGATTGACGTCATCAATCTTTCTGAGCTGAACAGTAGTGTATTAGGTTTCAGACTGTGAAAGGTGAGTACAAGCCCAGAGCGATTCTAGAACTTTTCAAACTTGACTTGTTTAGGCCTTGTTTACATTGCCTCAAAATTCCAAGTTTTTTCACTCTCTCTTCATTACATCAATTTTTATATGTATGCATAGAGCATTAAATGTAGGTAAAAAAAATAACTAATTACACAGTTTGGTTGTAAATCACGAGACGAATCTTTTAAACCTAGTTAGTCTATGATCGGACAAAGTTTGTCAAATACAAACGAAACATGCTACAGTGTCCAGATTGCAAAAATTTGCAATCTAAACAAGGCCTTAGATGACATCAAAGTTCTATGTTTTTTCACTCTCTCTCCATCACATCAATTTTTTGGACGCATGCATGGAGCATTAAATGTAGGTAAAAAAAGTAACTAATTGCACAGTTTGGTTGTAAATCACGAGACGAATCTTTTGAGCCTAGTTAGTCCATGATCAGACAAAATTTGTCAAATACAAACGAAACGTGCTACAATGTCCAGATTGCAAAAATTTACAATCTAAACCTGGCCCTTGGGAGAGGTGCTCCTTGCTCACCAAGGAAGCTTGGCGCCTTGGCCCCCACTCTTCCCAATCCTGTCCCCTGCATCTCATCTGCTCTGCAGCTATAAAATGGCAAAAAAGCCTTCGCCTGCCGCCGTCACTCACTCACTCTCAGCACAGCTCACGGCTCTCCAGTCCCCAGAGTCCCGTGCCTTCCTGAGCAAGAAGAAGCCATCCGCGGCGGCGATGGAGCGGCAGCAGGAGGCGGCGAGGCGGACCCTGCCGCGGCGCGGGCAGATCAAGGCGCGCATCTTCGCGAGCCTGTTCCGGTGCGTCGTCCCCGAGGCGCCCGCGCGCAAGGAAAAGGAATGCGGCAAGAACAAAGATGGCAGCAACAACCGCCGCCGCGTCTCCCCCGGTGGCTGATGCGGCTCGAGGGAGGCAAGATAGGACGGAGAATCAAGACGTGGGGCTGCGATAATCCCGCCAAGAAATGCTGCAGCCTGCAGCGCCGGGTGTGCACTTCGGGATTATCGTAGGGGACTCCATAAGATCACAGAAAGCTTCCGAATTCAGATCATTCACTGCCCTGTCTGAAATCTGAATCCCCTATCAGATTTCAGACAGGGCAGTGAATAATCTGAATTCGGAATCTTTCTGTGATCGAATGGAGTCTCTGAACTCCGGCTTCAGCTTGAGTGCTTTGTACTTGTAGTACAGCCTGCGCAAGGGTTGTTCAATTTTTCTGGGAATTTGTAACCTGAATGATTACGAAAAAAAGAACAGCCTGTTCATGTGTAAATTTCTACCTATTGAGTTGCAATTGGGGTCAAGTGATCCCTTGATTTTGTGAAATCAAAGACAGAAATTATTTGTGAAATTAAATAATATGAGAAGTAGAAGCCTCTCTGAATATTTGTTCCAGCCAATGCCTTGGCTACCGAGCAGTATTGACATGCCTGCATTTCATTTGCTTCAATATTAAGTAAAGCAGCGAGATCCCATCAGTCATCAGCACTATAGTTATTCTTTCTGCGGCTGATGCTGTTTTGTTGCGAGAGAAAAACACTGTACTATAACTGATAAGTCGGGCTGATAAGTTCAAGCGAACATGGCATTTTCTCCATACTGGATTCCATGTGAAGAATCTATACATTTACTTATTCCTTGTGCATGATGAAGCTGGAGATGAAGTCATCATGGTACTGGTTTTGGTGTCATGATATTACTCTTTCTTAGGTGTTATGGTCACCTGATTATCTGTGGGGTTTTTTTCGTTGTACCCTGTTTATTCTTTAGAGAGAAGTGACAAGTCTAAAACAAGGAACCATTGTTTTGTTTAAAAAAAGAGAGACTTCATGAATGAAACTCATTAGATGTTTATTGGCCTCCTTCCGGTTATGGTGAAATCAAACTTATGCTTGTTGCTTTGTCTCAAAGAAAGTGAGTGTTTTCGATGCAGGTGGATACTTTTTGGTCAAGGGAATGGAGAAGGTATAACTCTGTGATCTCAGTTGTTAATGTATTATGTTATGTAGGATGATTGAATTAAACTTTCGAGTGTCCTTTTGTTGTTCATATATGAGACTATAGGGCTGTGAGCTTTCTTAGAAACTGAGTCAGAAAAATGGTGTAGGTGCATTACTGGTCTAATAAATACAGTAGTAATAAAGGTCTAAATATGTTTTCTGGAAACATTAGTAACATAATTTACTTTATATTACAGTTTTCATAAATTGTAGTTATATAAACGCAGGCTGCTATCGTAGTATCGTATCAAAGAAAACTTCAGCACCAACAGCCATTTGAGTTGGCCTCCTACTGACCAGTTGGCAGACACATCCTTTGTACTATTACCATCTATGAATTTCAGCTGGCTAATCTGGATGGGAGGTTTGCATTCTTCTGCTATCATGTAGCCAGCTGCACCTCCAAACCTCTGATATCTGAAACTCTGTTAACTCCTCATATAAGAGAGCTGGTCAGTTAGCATGATATCTGAGTCAAGAAACATACATTAGCCAAAAAAAGCACACCTCAAAGTTTGCTGGAAGTTTTTCAGTGCGTGTTTCCTGGAAATATAGCTGTGTAGATTTACTCAAAGGTGCAGGTTTTTTTTAACTTTGTGCAGGTATGTCCTGATGGCTTTGCTGAAATCGGTCCTCACACTGAGTAAATGATGTAGTTAGAATTAGAAATTTAATTGAGAAGATTACAGTGGCATGAATGATGAGAGACATGCTATATATGCTGAAGCAACAGAAAATTTTCTGAATACTCTCTTTATGCTTGATCCTGTGGTGTGGAGGTAGGATTTCCCTGCTTTTCTTAGTGGTGGCATCTACATTTTACCTGTGCTTCCTTTCCTGTTTCATTAGCTTGAATCACCACATGTGGTTTTAACTGATTTAAGTCATTTTGCTATTTCAAGTATTAGTAGGATGAACATAGTTGCTAGGGATACAGATTTGAATGTGTTTATTACCCAGCTTTCTAAATTGCAGACATTCATGGCGAAACAAAGATAGTAAGAGTATTTTGTGTTTTTTATCTCTCAGGAAATCAAAGTGTGCCTTCAGATTTTATGGGCATGCTGGTCAAACGGTCACTTGTGGAGACATTGTCCACATGCTGGATTCAGATCCATTTATGATACGTATGTGCCCTATTTAGTTTTGTAAGAAAACTGTTATGTTGAGGCAAATTTACCTTGTTGAAAGCCCAACTGGACCAAACAAAGAGCATCTACTCAAACTTCAAACTTGAGCATGCATTAAGGTAACTATATATGTCTGGATTTCTAGTCGTGGTATCTGAACTTCAGGCTGGCTGTGGTGTCCTCGCTCCTCAAGCACGGATATCTAAAAGAATTGATCTCATTCTCAGAGTCCTTGGCCAGATGTGCAGAGTTGCCAGTCATGGTTGGCGTTTGATGGGCTGAAGTCTGGCACCACGATGAGGAGCTCGAAAATAGAGAATTACGGCAGTGAGTTTGACCGTGAGTGGGCGAGCGAGGGAGTGAACGGAGCTGAAACAACTATCTTGATGGTTGGATGACCAACGGACGAACATTATTTGTTTTTTGATAAAGAACGGACGAACATTGTTGGTCGCCCTTACGTACTTGTAAAAGTCAAGAGCATGATTGATAACATCTCTTTAGTTTTTGTCACAGAGTAGCAACGCATGGGCATTACGTTACGCACGCATGGACATCTAACTATAATGCATGGGTAAAGAATGCATGAATTATTAGAAATACACAGAATGTCACGGATTTTGATTTTTAAAACCGTTTGCAACCCACTGACATACATCTAGTCCAGTAATATTAGATTTGTGGCATACGTGGGCGCAGCCAGGGCAGAAACTCACGCATATCATATTGAACCTCTCAAGCAATAATATAGAGAATACAAAGGCTTGGGGGCAAAGACACCTGCCCGGATACTTATGGTAGTACCACTCCCAATATCCTGCCAACCAAACATACTCTAACAAGAGTTTAGTTCAAGACAACCTCGGTCCAAAACCCTAGCATCATAATTCATATAAAGAGCAAACTTCACAAAGAGCAGACTTAGAACACCCTGTATGGTTTCCCCATGGTGCTCTTGACGTACAGGCATCTCACCTGCATAAAATACACCACAACATGTTATAACCAACTCCTTCAGCTTATATTCTAAAAGGTTCATTACATGTAAACACAACAGGAACAATTATTATTACGGTATAGATGTAACAGAGAACAGAGCATCACTCACATTCTGCCAGTTCTTCTTCAGGCGGGACACAAGGAAGTTGACGCTCATTTGGATGTTCTGCTGGATCTGCTTCTCCTCCATCGACAAGTTACCAACAGCGACACCCATGCAAAGGACCTTCTTGAGCTGAAACTTGACTGTAGCCTTCGTCTCATTCACCTTGGATTCGAGGGATTCCTGGTGAGTAACCAGCGTAGGGAACTTGCCTGCAGTAGTAATATCAACATGATTCAATCACCAGGGCAGGCAATGTTAGACCATATATAGCAAAAGCCTCTCAGATGCACAGCTCAGAGTTAAAGGGTACTATGATACCATTTCACAATAGGTATGTATCATTGCTTTGAGAATGTCAAATAGCAACTAATAAAACAGTTTAACATTAACACAATAATGACAGGACATTGGCTTGCAACGAGTACCGACTACCAATTTAGTCATTATCATCGTTATCACTCGTTGCAAGTAAGACAATGCATAGGAGGAACACTTTCAGTGCGTACCATAAACGAATGAAAACAGCAAAATCATGCAAAACTACATACAGAAATTTGAAACAACATTGCATGTTACAGCTTAGCATGCAAAGTAAGTAACAATCATGTCAAAAATGGACTACTTGCCTGCCTTGTTGAGACCAGGACCAAGGAGACGGGGAATCTGCTTGATGATGGCCTCTGATGCCAAGAAAGCATGGTACTTCTTGGCAAGCTTCTTAACAAGCTTCTTGTTCTTGTTCATTTTCTTGAGGGCCTCAACATCCATGTAGTCAAGTCCCATCTTCTCAGCCTGCAAATGTAGTAAAACAGTTTGTGTGAGGAAGAGTTGATCCAGATAGAAAGGGCACTTAGATTATCTGAGCAAAATTCTCAAACTTCCATACAGTTGAGCAGAATTTGTATATACATATTTTCATGCAAATGGAATCAAGCGCAAGATTGGACTGACTAATACATGCCAGTCACAATTCAGTAATTCAAAACAATGGTGTTTTTTCAGTTCAACAAACTACTAGTGTACTACTGTAAGCATGTTCAACATATAAATAAGCAGATTTTCAAGCACATCAACAACTAATTGCTTACCTCCTCGACATGTTGGGCATCACCAAGCATGCACACCTTCATCTTTGGACGAGGGATGTGGGACAGAGCCACTGAAACGCTTGTCCTTCTGTGGATCATAATTCTTCAGACCAATCTGAAGTTCAACAGTCTCGGTGAACTTCCTATTCTTCTCCTTGGCATCCCCAACAATCTGGGAGATTGCATCCTTGAGAACCTCAGACTGCAACTTACTGCAATAATATCAGTGCATAGAAATTATTTGACAAAGATAATCTATCTGGATGGGAACACTACTCTAGCATTCCAATTATCCCTGCCAATAGGGAGAATTGTAGAAGGCAAAAACTGCAGAATAATCAATCATAATAAGCAAACTAAGTTAATCTATCTCATGTGTCGAGATAACCACCCGAATCTATCTCACATCCATTTTCATTATGTGAACGAACTAACAGCTGAACCCAACTCCGAAAGAATCAGATTGGATGGCCTGCTAATGGGGTCTAACCCAACCCAACCCATAGCCTGTTGTAGCCCAACACTACCAAAGAATCTAAATCAAGCACCCACCCCGACCTGCTCCGCAATAACC